CGAGGCCGGCTCGCTGGCCTACATGCACGTGGCGGAGGTGGTGTCGGCGGCCGTGGCGCAGGGGGCTCTGGGAATGCTGCAGGCCACCGGCAGGCTCTTCATGGTCACCGACTACTCCCCCGAGTGGTCCTACCCCGAGGTGAGACACGCACACGCGATCACACGCGATCACACGCGATCACACGCGATCACACGCGGGGGTGCTGAACGGGCCGTGGGTCCAGGCCGCTGGAGCTCGGTTCTGCTGTAATGTGACATGTTTTCAAGCAGGCAGCAAAGGGACAGGTACAGGTTTATTCCACGCTGGGAAGAGAAGGAAAGAAACGCAACGTTTCGGGGTGTCAGAACTGTTTTTCAGACAATTTCATGATTTGATCAACATTTGTGTTCCAGTCCATGCCAGGCGTACCAAAGAATCTGCAAGATTATAAATAAACTGCAGCTTCTTTTGGAATCCTTGAGTATAATTTCACAGTGACAGAATAACAAGATCAGACACAACATCCCTGCTAATTTAAATTGACATTTTAGCACAGTAGGTTTCTGTAATTGTGATTATGTTTGGGTCCCTCTCTGGCTTGAGCTAGATTTGCGTATTTCTTTTTCCGGCGCAGTCATGTTCTCCTGTGCGCGTCTGCAGTGTTCACTGATCGCCAGAGCCGTTTATTCCACAAGAGGGCAGTGGGATGTTAAATTCGCAGCGTTGCTCACAAGGCAAAAACAAGCAAGGATGTCATTCAAATTGCAAAACACCAGATGGCAGCAGAGATGTACTTTATACTCTGTCTCGTCCTCCTTTTTGCAATGGAAGCAGACATAGGCACACGCATAAGGGTGGTATTTTTACCATGGGTGCATGTGAAAACTTGACTCCTGCTTTTGAGGTCGCTCAATTTAATATTGCAGGGCTCTTTACTAAGAAGATGGACAGAGCAACCTTCTCTGTAACCTGTAACCTTTTCTCAAATTCAAAAGGCTTTATTGGCATGACTTGAACTACAGTGTGGCCAAGGCAGATACAATTAACACAGCATTTAGAAACATTTCCTTGGATATTTACATATGACACATAAACATACAAGTCCCTCTTGCTCTTTAGTTCTCATGGTCCGCTGGCCTGCTCAGAGCAGCTGCTGTAATGCTCACCTCCTTGAGGAGCTGCGTCAGGGAACTGTGTTTGTGTTGCAGGGTGGAGTGAAGGTGCTGATCACCGGTCCCTGGCAGGAGGCCAGCAGTAGCTACAGCTGCCTGTTTGACCAGATCTCGGTGCCTGCCTCTCTAATCCAGCCAGGTGTACTGCGCTGCTACTGCCCTGGTAAGGGCTGCCCACGTTCTGCAGGACAGGCTTTTTGTCTGCCCTCACCGAACCTGCCGAACATCCTCACACTGCCTCCAATACACACGCAGACTCCCCCGCCATGCACTCCACACCTTGAGATTTGCACAGCACTGCCTTTCGTCACGCCCACTTCTCTCTGTACACGACTCCTGATCATTTCACTGAGGCTCTAGCCACTCCCTTCCCTCTGTCCTTCTTCGTCACCCTCACCCCCTCTCTCTCTCTCTCTCTCTCTCTCTCTCTCTCCAGCTCATGACACTGGCCTGGTGACTCTGCAGGTGGCTGTCAATAACCAGATCATCTCCAACTCTGTGGTGTTTGAGTACAAGGCCCGCGCGCTGCCCTCCCTGCCCTCCTCTCAGCACGACTGGCTCTCCCTGGACGGTAGGACCCCTTCCTGAGGTTATCTGGTGGCGTCTGAGTCTATCGGGGAGATACTCCGTGGTGCCTCACCTGTTACTCCACGAGAGTCTGAATGCTGCATGCGGGCGTTGGGGCTGCGGCAGGTTACGCTGGGCAGCCGAGCCAGCCCTGGAGGGTCTGCAATGTCAAAAAGCTCTTCTTACTCTACTAAAAACCTCACTCAAAACCTTGTGCGAGTCTCCAACGCGCAACTTTTTGGTTTTTTATTTTGAGATGGCTTCTCTTATGTTTCTTTTTTTTTTTTCTGTGATCTAATGCTTTTTAATGCTTTTTAAGGGATGGAGGAGGGCTGTTAGAGGACACGACCAGGCACAGGGCCCAAGGGTCCTATTAAGGCTCCTTGTAAAGCTTTGCTAAAGCATGCACTTCACTATTGACCCAGAACTGCTGCTCCCTGCCACCCTGTTCTGAGTCTCTGCCTAGGGAGAAGGCAGAGTTTTGCCAGCGCAGGGCAGGAGACTCATTACAGCGGTATGTAACAGTAAGCTGCTCCATGAATTGGAGCCCCTTTGTCACCTCTTGGAATCTGTCCAGATGGAGTTTATTATCCACTCCAGGATCCTCTCGGCCGTGCTGCTAGCCTCCAGTCCTGTGTTATTACTATCGCTTTGCTTAGCAGTCAGACTTCTCCAAGGCAACATATAAAGTGATTACATAGATTAAATTGTACCTGGAAGTTGGACCCGTGTGTTTCATGCACGGGCGTGATGCAGATACTCATGCAGGATGATGTCTTTCGGGTCATGAAACTGGTGCCTGGGCTTTCTTCCTTCGCCTGTGGTGGTTGCAGTCGTTTGACTGGCAGGGTTATGTACGTGTTGAGACAATTAAAGAACTAAGAATCTCAAACCCCTGTGGGGGCGTTACTAGCTTCTTTGAGTTCTCTAGACGGCGTCTAGATGGCAGATCGCAGGGACTTGTAGTCGGCCTGTAGCCGCAGTCCCCCTGCTTCCCGTTTCTCTTCGTGTTGGAGGGTGATCCTGCAGGGTGTGTCACTTCGAGAGAGCCTGCCGGAGAGCCACACGCAGAGCGGGGCTTCAGGCTCAGAGCCGAGAGGCAGCGGAAGCGAGAAGATCTTTTAATCTGAGCCTTAAATCCGTTCTATTTTCAGCCAGTTTATAATCCACTTTCTACATACTGTCCACACAGATCTGCTTTTTTGCAATTGCCGGTATTCGTGGCAGAATCAAGGGGCTGTGTTTTTTACGTTCTCGGACACCAGGATTAGTTGTTTAACGGGCACGCTGTTGACAAGAGAGCCGAATCCAACTCGTTTTCTCCCAGTGCCAGTGCCAGTCTGTCTCAGTCGAGTCTTAAAAACGGGCAAGGTGCTCCACAGGGGCTTCCCAGCGACATCCCACCACATCAGTTCGCCTGTTTGTGAGTGGGGCACACTTCTTTCTTCGCTCCCAGCTTTGGCAGGAACTTTATTTTGGAAAAGGGGAAGCAGATTGGTGTGTTTTCTCTTCAATGGTAAGAGTTTTTCTTATTTATGGGGGCTGCAATACGACACAGTGTCACGAAGCGTTCTTTCTGGACCCTATGCAGACAGCACAATCCGGGGAGGAGTGAGGAAAACACGCGGAAAAAAGCATGCAAAGGGGCTGGAAGGGAAACAGGGGGCGTGTCCAAGGTGCGCTGGTGTTCAGGGGGGTGTGGCCGAGGCAAACAATCCAAAGGAGTCCGAGGCAAATCGGAGAACGGTGCAATGTCCAAGACCGGGTGATCCATCCTGACAAAGACGAACAGAGTTAAAAGCCGGAGCGGGATCCGGCGAAGGGTCAGGGGAATGAAAGTGGTCACGGGACCAGACGCTCCCAGTCCCGGACTCAGAAGGTCAGGACGCCATTGAAGCCGATGCTGCCGAGTCGCTCCAGGACTCGAGGGCTTCAGGGCGTCCATCTTCCAAAGCTGAGCCCAGATTGTCAGGAACGTCTGGCTTTTATAGGACGGGGGCAG